CAGAGTCCAGAGAAAAGATCATTTTCTGACTTTTTTGACCCAAAACCAGCTCTAATTTTCTATTAAACGACACTGAAGGTCCTCCAAGTCCAGAGAACTCAGATTTTTAGGTCTTTAGATGAAGGAAACTCATGTAAAAATCAGATTTATTGGTCTTTAGATGAAGGAAAATCATAGAAAATCTGATTTTTAGGTCTTTAGATGAAGAGAAATCATTTAAAAAACAGCTTTTTAGGGCTTTAGATGAAGGGAAATCATTGTTGTGTTCAATGATCTCAGAAATCTCAGCTTTCACTGCCTTTTTACTGTTTGAAATCTAAAGGAAAATGCTTTTAGAAAGTCAGTAAGTCCTCTAGCCTTACGTTTAATCTCCAAAATAACCTCTAATTTTCTCCCATTTATCATTAAAACTCCTCTAACTTCTTTCTCTCTTTTTGGTCTTTTTCTCTCTCTTTTAGCTTTAGGAAACAGCCACTCTGAGCTGGAGGATTCCCATCTATGAGCGTCTGATCAGAACAGTTTAACAGTTTTTAAATAAAGTTTGATTCTGTGTTTACCTTTCCGGTGCAGCAGAAGACGAAGATGAGGATGAGGGGCAGAGCCACGGTGAGAACGTAGACGACCCAGAGCCACGGACGCTCCTCTGCCGCGTTCAGCATCTGGGTGGCCAAACCGGGCTGCAAACAGAGTAAACAAAGAGCATAAACAAACGAGAAACAGATGATAAACAGAAGATAAACAAACGAGAAACACAAAAATATCTGATAAAGAGAAATGAAGCCGATAAACAGAAAAACATCCGATAAATAAACGAAAACATTTGATAAACAAACAGAAATGAAACAGATAAACAAACCGAAAAACATCTGATAAACAAACCGAAAAACATCCGATAAACAAACAAACAGATCCGATAAACAGAAAAACATTCGGACAAACAAACGCATCCTATGAAAACAAAAATGAATCAGATAAACAACAGAAAATCATCAGATAAACAAACTCATCCGATAAAAGAAAAACAGCCGACAAACAAAAACGCATCCGATAAACAAACAAAAACGCATCCGATAAACAAACGGAAAAACATCCGATAAACAGACAAACTCATCCAATAAAGAAACACACACCAGATAAACAAACACAGCCGATAAACAAACAGAAAAACGTGTGATAAAACAGAAAAACATCCGATAAACTAACCGAAATAAATCCGATAAACAGAATTAAATCCAATAAACAAAAAGAAAAACATTCGATAAAAAGACAGAAAAACATCCGATAAACAAACAGAAAATCATCCAATAAAGAAACACACACCAGATAAACAAACCTATCCGATAAACAAATGCAGCCAATAAACAAACAACCCCCCCACACCCCCCCTTATCTCCACCCACCTCGGCGGCGCCCTCGGCGGCCTTCTTCAGCCCCCAGCCGTCGGCCGCCCAGCGCTCGGCCGTGTTGCGGTCGTTGCTGATGAAGAAGTTGTCGAAGAAGATGTCGGAGCTCATGGACCACAGCTCCAGCCCCACCGCGCTGAAGGCGGCCATCTTGTAGGGCTGCAGGTCCTCAAAGTAGGCCGGGTTGGGGATCTTCCTGGGCTTCCAGATGCCCTGAAACCCAAACAGAACCGGGTCAGATCCGGTCCCGGAGCCTGGTGGGGGAGGGGAGGGGGGGGGGGGCAGACCTGGTAGCTGGGGTTGTCGATCATGGGGGACTTCCACTTGCCCTTGTAGCTGGGGTTGTCCACCATTGGGCGTTGCCAGGCGCCGCAGCCGGGGGCGCTCTCGCACGCCGGGTTGGGGATCTGAGGAGCCTCCCACTCGCCGTCCATGTCCTCGTCCCTGGGGGAGGAGCCAGTCAGCAGGGCTAGTGCTAATGCTAATGCTAGCAATGCTATCATTAAGCCAATGCCATCAATCCCATGACTATTTCAATGTTATTAATGCTATCACAATGTTAATGTTATCAATGTTATCATTAAGCTAATGTTATCACTATGCTAATGCTAGCAATACTATCATTATGCCAATACCATCACTATCCTAATAATATTATGCTAATGTTATCACTATGCCAATGCTATCAATGTTATCACTATGCTAATGGGGCCGGTCAGCACACAGTCAGCAGGGCTAGTGCTAATGTAATGCTAACAATGCTATCATTAAGCCAATGTTATCACTATGTTAATGCTAACAATGTTATCATTAAGCTAATG